ATGTTGAGGAAAGAATCTAGCCTTATGCATTCTAGGCAAGTGCTCTACCACTGAGTTGTCCTAGGCCTGGATGACATCTTTACCTCTCATAGTTTACTTCCAGGTAGTATTAGACCACTTCAAATAAAGTATAAGAATCAGAAAATAGAATTTCATTTTGCCTCTCCCAACCTTTTTGCTGTTATCATTATGTACTCTGTTGATACATCATAAACTCCATAGTGTGCTGTTCTTACTGTTATCAATTACCTTTTAAAGAGATTAAAAAACAGTTCTCTCTGGAGTTCTCATTCCTTCTTGTACATTAATGTTCACTTCTGATTTTAATGTTCTACAATTTAAAGGATTTTTGCCAACATCCATTCCCATAGTAGGAGTCTTCTGGTGATAAAGGCTTTTATGTCTTTAAATGTCTTTTTTGGGGCCTCTACTTGTGAAAGACACTCTGGGTGAAGAATTTTAGTTTGATGGTTTTTTTTGTTGTGGTGTTGGTATGGTATTGAGCCCAAGGTCTCATTTATGCTACATGGAAGTATCCCTCCAAAACGCATGTATTGAAGGCTTGATAACCACAGTAGCTGTGTTCAGAGATAGGGCTGAGAGGTGACTGGATCATGAGGGTGCTCATATCATCAATGAAATAATCTATGGATGAATGGGCTTTAGGAGCTCAGGCCTGATTACAGGAAGCAGGTCACTGGAACCCTTTGCTTCCTGGAGGTCACGTAGTGAGCAGCTTTTCTCTGCCATAATGTTGCCTTGCTACAGGCCCAAATGTGGTAGGCAGCTGAGCGTGGACTGAAATCTCTGAAACTATGAGCCAAGCTAAGCCTTTCTCCCTTTACATTATTCTTAGGTATTTTGTCACAGCAACGAAGAACTAACACACCAGTTCTATGACTGAGCTGCACACCCAAGTCTCTTCATTCATTCATTCATTCAAAAACACCGATTCCCTAAATTTTTCAGAATAGCCTTGAACTCATGCTTCTGCCTCCAGAGTCACTGGGATTACAGGTATGTGCCCCAGTTCTTGGCTTAGGCTCATAGATTTTTCTCCCATTGTTTTAAAAATGTTGCTTTACAAAAAAAAAAAAAACCAAAAATAAATAAATAAATAAATAAATAAATAAGTAAAAGGGGCTAGGGATTTAGCTCAGAGGCATAAGCACCTGCCTTGCAAGCAGGCAGTCGTGAGTTTGATCCCCGGTACCAATAAAAAATAATAAAAAAAAGACAAAACAAAACAAAAACAATGTTGCTTTACAGTGGTAATTTTTCCCTGATTTTGGTAAGAAAGGTGCTGCTGCCCTTGTCTTTGTTCACTTGTCTTGGGGCTTGCTGAATTTCCTCTGTGGCTTCCTAGTTTTCATCAAATTTGGAAAATCTTTAGCCATTAGTTCTTCAAACATCCTCTGTGCCTATCCCTCAGGAGCTCCAGACACCACGTTATATCTGTTGCAACTGCTGGATAGTTCAATGACAGTCCTTGAATTTTTAAAAATTTTCTTGTCTTGTGTTTTCCTTTTGGATAGTATCCATTCCCTTTTCTTCTATAATGTTTAATCAGATGTTCATCCTATTCAGAGTCTTTTTCATGTCACAGATTGTCACTGTCATCTACAGAAGTTTGACTGGGTGCTTTTTATATCTCCAAAGCTTAAATACATAGAACAGACTTCTCATACTGTTTTAATGTCCTTGTCTTTCAATTCTAACATCTGTGCATGTCCAAATGAGTTTCAACGGTTAGATTGTCTTTTTTTTAACCTCATGATAGATCTTATTTCTTGATTTTTCATCTGCCTGGTAATTTGATGGTGAAGTGAGGGAAGAGTGACATTGTGCAAGGAGTGATTTACAAGAGATGTTCTGGGTCAGATTACTTTGAGTGTGTCAGGACTCTAAAAATGCTCCTTGTCCCAAGCAAGGCCACCTGTATGGTCAGTGACCTCACAATGTATGAAGTCCCTTAGTTAAAGGACAAGTGCATTGGGTCAGAAATATAGTTCTGTGGCACAGCGCCAGCCTAGCAAGTGCAGGGGAGTTCAATTCCCAGTACCAAAAAAAAAAAAAAAAAAAGGACAAATGATCAGATGATTCATTTGTACCTTACTCTACCCTCGCGATCTCTTCTTTTGCCCACACAAAGCCATCCTTTTGAGAATCTGGTTAATTCCTGAGTCTTCCAGAAGCCTCTAGCAAAACAGTACATAGTGATGCCCAAAAGCTGAATGGGAGAGAAAACGGGTCCCAATGTGCCCTATGCTGCACCCAGCCAGAGTGAGCCCACCATTTTCCAACTCACAGTGGGGCTAGCAGGAAGGTCCTAGGGGGCTGACAGGCTCCTGATAAGAGAAAAGAGTCTGGACAGTCTCATTATCCTCACAGTGTACCCTGCCCTGCAAACCCACAAGGGCACACTCAAGGAGTCACCTGGAGGACTGAGCTCAGTGAGGGCACAGTTCAGGAGATGCGGGGAGGCTGGCTACCCAGTGTAGCCAGATGTTAGGAGAGGAGGGATGACTGCTTAAACGCAGATAGAGCTGTAATCTTGGGGAGTTACGGCCAGGGTAATTATGAAAGGAAGGATGAGGTAAATAAGGCTTGATTTCAACGGGAAAGGTTTCAAAATATCCCTCCATGGGATGATTGTTGTTAAATAAATAGGTACAGCAAGCTGGGTAAGAAATTAATTCACAGGATGGTCCCCAGCGCCTGTGGGTATTTACGAGAACATTACAGCAAAGGGCATTTCCAGCTGGGCTGTGGAACTGTGCATCATGCAGTGTGACAAACAGCTCTTTTGGCATCAGGCACAGTGTACTGAGGGCTGCCCCTCCCCAGGGTGAGCATGAGAAACCATGTGGCCCTGGGAGAGAATAGGAACAAGAGGAGGATATAAACCCTGTTCCCTACATGCCATAGTGCAGTGATCAGCTCTGAAGGTAGAGACAGATATAGCCTCTCCTAAAATGACTAATAAAGATAAGACCTACGCCCAGGTACTAAAGGCACTACAAGGACAGACCATTGTGAGAATCAAAGCTGGCTTAAACGTGTTCATGCAGTTCATGCAGGAAGGGCTAGGTGAGGCTGGGGGTGTAAACTCCAGTGTGCTTAATCACAGTCGCACTGCTCACTGCTCCAGGTTCCAGACCTGCTGCTCATTGCCTGTGCTTGCTTACCTGTTGCCTTTTCTGTCCTGTGGGTGCCTTTTCTGCTCTCTGCTCCCTCAACTTGTGCTTTGTTTCATAGCAGATCTGTTTTGTGTACCCAAGAGCCCTTCCATATGGTACCATGGCCAAGCACCAAATAACAGTGTCAGTAAATTTCTAAATGTTCTGGCACAAATGCCAAAGACAATGGGATAGAAGAGAAACAGTTCTGAGATGACTTTCTGAGAAAAGTCCTTCTGTTACATAATGTGGTTCTTCAATGAATTTGAAGGGTAAAATGGAAATGACAAACAAGGATTGCTTTCTGAATCACAAGACCAAACTTTCAGCATGGAAGAACAAGTCTTAGTGTAACAGAGACAGGCAGTATGTGTATGAGATGTGCTTTGCTGCTGTCCTGATGCTGAACCTCCCTGTTGGAGGTGGCGGCCCAAGCACCATCACGGTGACTCACAGAAGCCGGTGATGCATGGGAGTGAGGATGGCTTGCTGGGATAAATGAGGAAATGGATTCAAGTTCAGCCCTTTAATTCTTAAATCTGGTAAAGTTACCAATCTTTTAAGTAGTAACTGCTTATTAGAAGTTAGCTTAATGGGCAGGAAGGTAAATATTTTGTTAAAATATATAACTATCTGGTCATTACAGAACAATCAACAGAAGAAATCACTGGTTGGATTCCAGGTGCAGAACACAAGACTCAGCAAGAGTCAAAGCTGAGCACAAGGTGATGGTCAAATTTGAAGTAGCAGTTGAAGGTAGAGAGGGCGCAGTTCCTAGCATCAGCAAGACCATGCAAATCAGGAAATTACCTGGGTATTTCCAGTACTGCAATCAGGTAACAATGGACTAAAGTCCTAGTAGATACCCTTAGCCAGAAAAAAAAGAGACTTAAAAACTGGCTGAGAGGTAACAGGTTGTTCTTGTTTGCCACTGTAATGATGGTCTACATAGAATGTCCAAGACACTCTACTGGGGAAACCACTTGAACTAATAAGAACTGAAAAAGGCTGCTGAACAAGATCAATGCACAAACACTGATACAGGTCCTCAACACAAAGTGGAAGAACACATAAGGAAGACAGCACTCACAAGAGAAGCAATCGGAGGTGATACACTTAGGAAAAGCCATCTGCACGTCCTCCACAGTGGTTAGCAGGTTTTGTCCCCCTTGTACTAAAGCTGAATGAGTACTTATGGTGTGGGGAGATGGCTGTCCAGGAGAGCAGTGCCCAGGTGAAAGGAGAGACATGGCCAGATCGGCATGGGTGGGGCTGAGCAAGTGCCCAGGGAACCTATGAGAGGTCAGGTCAAGGAACCAAGGTCTGGGCTGGACTTGAGTCCATGCATTTATTAGTTGGGATGTGTCGGTAGCAGCCCCTATCTTTGGATAAGAGCACAGTGCAGAGGACAGGTCAGCCTAGCATGACCAGCAGTTGGACAATAGGCCCCAGCAAATACAGCTGAATGATGCCCACAAGAACAGGTGGGGTGAGGCAGATACAGGGGAGCACAGGCAGGTCCTAGTGATCAGTGTGATGTAGTGAACGGAGCAAGGAGGAAGCCACTAAGGGAAGAGTGGGGACAATGACGGGAGTCTATGAAGAGCCTCCCATCACCCAGAGATAGCTTCTAGGGCAGCACCTTGTCCTGGAAGACAAGGGGCAGGCAACAGTACCTACAGGTGTCAGGCTGGGGAACAGGCTAGAGGAGGAGCTGGTCTCACCCCACACTCATTGTCCCTGTCATGAGAAGTGGAGAAGCCCAGGGTGGGGTACAGAGCATAGTTTCCTACTCTTAAGAAGACAGATGGAATTACTCACACTGTCCACCGCCAAGATCTTGGCCCAGATGAAGACGAGGAGCGGCCGCAGCTCACGGGCTGAGCTCTGGAGCAGCTTCAGCACATAGGGAAAGATGCCCACAGACAGGGCCTGTGGGGAGAAACAGCATTAGCATGGCCTGTCCCAGTCCTACATTTGCCCGCCAGAGAGCAAGGTGGCACTGACGACTGTCCATGCAGCTCTGGCACAAGGGTGGCTGCTCCCTTCAATATGTGTGGGAAATGAGACAGGAACAAATGTACCTTGCTGAAAAGGAGGAGGGCTTCCTGAAGATGTGCGCCTCTCTGGCTTTATGCTGAGCAGCTGCCAGAACTGCCTGCCCTGGCTTGTCCTGAGTTGGTGGGAGCTTTTCCTCATGGAGGAACATGCTGGGGGAAGAAGCACACAAGCATTCTTCCCAGTTTTAGATTTTCCTCCCTCCTTTAGTGTTAATTATTCTTCCTAATTTTAGATTTTCTAAAGTTCTTCTCCTTCAATGTTGCCTTATCCATGATCACTCTTTGTTACCATTATCTAATTAGTGAAAAATGTTAAACATTAGCAGAGAGACTACTTGGTGACTTCTGCATGCTCATGGGCAGCCCCTGGCCACACAGTCCCTCTCCTGGCCTGCTTGCTCCTCCTCTGCGCTCTCTGCAGCAAATGAGTGCCACGAAACTTCACTTGTAGTGCACATCACTTACCATGAACAATCATTCTTCCATAATGTGCAGTTTGTATACAATTTCTCATTGTTGTGAACACTAATTTTTGTTTTTGTTTACTTTAAGACAGGGTCTCCATATGTAGTGAAGATTAGACTTGAACTCAGGAACCTCCTGCCTTAGCCTCCCCATTACAGGTGTGCACCACCATACCTGGCTGTGTTCTGTGAACACTGATTTTTCAAACTTCAGTTTTCAGTAAATGGGGAGGCAAAGGGAATGGGAAATAAAACAAGTAAAACAATAAGATACATTATGCATGGGTACAAATTCTCTATGATGAATGTGATCAATATGTACTAATAAAAAACAAAGTTAAAAAGACTTCAGTTTTCATACATTTATTTGTAAACAAAAACAAAGAAGGTCTATATATTGCAATTGGAAGACGGGTCTCTTGAACCTTCTTACATCTATAGATTTTCCCTCAATTTCTCTTTTATTTCTTTTGTGATTTATTTGTTGAAAAAATGGATCATTTCCTGGTTCAGTGTTGGCCACTCTTTTCTGTCTAAAATGGCACTGCTACTCTTCTAGAAAATGCGTAATGAAAGAAGTATTTCAGAACTGTGTCTCAATAATAGTGAAGGGATAGTGGATGGGGCTGCAGAGTCCTCCTGAGAGAAAAACACCTCATTAAGTGGCGGGACTCGCTGCTCAGGGCTCCCAGGCATAGGGCCGAGCCGCTGCATAAGAAGCAACCCACCAGCTGCGCTTTGTTTCTTGCAAAGGCCAAGTCCAACATCAGATGGAAAGAGGGTAAAGAGAAAACAGTAGCCCCAGCACTCTGCCCGGAGAGTGCCACGCAGGCATGTGGACAATTCCCGGGCAGAGGGTCATCCCAGACCACACAGGGTGGCTGCATCTAGACCATTACATAAGCCCCAGACTGTCACACACAGTCTGCTCTCTGCTCTCCCCAGTCCTGACCCCCAAGGTAAGGAGAAGGCACGCACCAGGCTCACTGCCCAGGGACCCAAGTCCAGAAACCTTCCCAGCAAGTCCAAGGCTCTCAGCCGGTGCACCTGGCTTAGCAGCACCTGGGAAAAAAGGACAAAATTGCATTTTTGGAGTCATTTATGTCGACATCTACATTGCAGGTCATGCATATCCAGTCTCTTTGACCTGGGCCTTTTCTACCCACTGTCGCATCTTCATAGGTATTTCCAGAGCCTTGCTTTGTCCTGGAGCCTTTGCTGGGTCCTGAGGGAGTGACCAGGGATATGTGCTCATCTGCACGGTGATGATGGGCAGTGCCAGAAGACCCACAAGCCAAATCTCTGACCTGGTTGGGGCTAGAAAGGGGTACTGTCTCTGCTGAGAAGATGCACAGGATGCAGCCAAGCAGCCAGATCCTGAAGGCGGACTTGTGGGGATTACTGTATTATGAGAGAAGGAGGAAAGGGCAGGTGGCTGGTCTGCCTGGGGCATCCATGGGTTAGGGGAAACTCCTATGACTGACCCTCTTGATTCTGCAGCTTCACACAGTTAACTGTCCATGGCGAGTGAGACACACCTCAGTGCTGCCACCACTCACTGTGAGAGATGGCAATCCAAGACTCTAAGTGACACAGGATTTTATGCTATGATTATTAGTATCTACTTTTAATATCTTTGTCAATAAAGAGTACTAGGGAAAATATCAAAAAGTGGTTCTTACAAACAGAACAGTTTTCCTATTTCTGTTGACATATATATTCCCTCCTCCACCCCTAGGATTGGGAATCCAAGCCAGAGGCTTCCCGCCGAGCTGCACCCTCAGGCCCCAGCCCACTTTTGAACTACTGTGAGACAATGTTTTGCTTCTAAGCTGCCCACGATGGACTTGAACTTGCCATTCTTCAGCCTCATCCTCCTGGAGGGCTAAGGGTATGTTGGTTCATACTTCTAAGAAACTGAAGCCCAATATAAATTTAAATTATTTTAAAAACATAGATTGGTTTTTTTGGGCGTGGGGGTTGTATCTGTACTTTAAAAAATAAAAATATGATTAGGCTTGGAATGTAGCTCAGTGACAAGTTCTTGCTGGTGTTCACAAGGACCTGGGTTGTGCCCCCAGCATGGAAAACAATAAACCAGACAATCAAAAATCAAGACAAAAACAATCTCCTCCTCTAAAACCCTCTAAGTTCCTATTTTAGACTACCCCAGGGTGCATGGGAATTATGGAAATCAATGGCAGTGATCTAAGTGAGCCACTGTGGTTTCTTTTCATGGGTGCCACGTCAGACTAATGATTAAGTGTGGCTGCAGGAACCCCAGAGTTGCTAAGGCAAGTCAGCTCTATCTGCCCACCGCACAAGACAGTATTCAGACTCCTGGCTTGAGGCTTGCCAGTAGAGCTGCTTCGTGCAAAGCTGATCCTTGAGGTCTAGCCCCAGGTTGTATCTGCAGGCCAAGGTACTCAGAAACCCTGAGGAGCAGCACCATCACAGCATCTGATACCAGTGTAGACAACATATATGCATACATATAATAAGGTCACTCTGGGTCATTATTCTGCTGCCTCCTGGAAATAACCCTACACTTTCAGAACCCACATTTACTTGAAAATAAAAAAGTGCCCTGAGAGCAAATGGGGTTTTTGTATCATACTGACTTGTAAGATCTGTGTAAAGGTACTAAAATTTTACCCTATGAAGTAATTCTTCCCTTGCTTTTCTATAGTGTCAACCTTCTTCATTCTTTAACCTGGGCCATCTCTGCTTACGTACTACCACAAGAGGAGGCAGACAGGGAAGAAAGTCCTAGCGAGAACTGCACAGAGCCAGACGGTTGCCACAAGGCTGTAAGACTCAGGAGTTCTGCGTAAGGAGATGGATAACTCCTCAGAAGCAGTTGCTAGCCAACTGCAAAGACTTGTCGTTTCCTTCCTATTCCTTCTGTTGACTTGCATTTTCAAAAGGCAAGAAAGGACACAGAGTTGCTTGGGAGAGGTAAACTTGCATGTTTATATTTATCTGAGGGATTAGAACCCAGCAGAGCTGAGGAAGCCTCACACTGGCCCCCAGATGTGGTCACAGGCTAATATTTCTTTCTTTCTTTTTTTTTTTTTTATCGGTACCAGGGATTGAACTCACGACTGCCTGCTTGCAAGGCAGGCACTTATGCCACTGAGCTAAATCCCCAGCCCCTAGGCTACATGTTTCTTGAGTTTGAGGCTAATGTTTCTTTAGTGCTGATGGTAGAGAAAAGTCACTCTGAGGGGTTGGGGATTTAGCTCAGTGGCATAAGCACCTGCCTTGCAAGCAGGCGGTCGTGAGTTCGATCCCTGGTACCGATAAAAAGAAAAAAAGAGAAAAGTCACTCTGGCTAGTAGGGAAAGTCTGCAAAAGTCTACAAAGTCTTTATTAAGATGCTTCTTCCCTTAAGGAACATTTCTTCCCTTGCCAAGACAGTAGAGGATAATGTATGGATAACAGGGTACAGGCTTTGGCAATAATAAAGGTTCTTAAAACAAAGCCTGGGGAAGTAACTGAAAGGTAAGAGGCTGGCTATAGGCCATGCCAGTAAGGATGGCACATTTCTGTACTCTTTTCTTTTCTTTTTTCTTTTTTTGGTACCAGGGATCAAACTCACGATCTTGTGCTTGCCAGGCAGGTGCTTACACTGCTAAGCTAAATCCCCAGTCTTTTCAATAAAGGTTCATCCACCAACCCAGGTGGGGAATAGCTGGGAGACAGATCTTCCATGCGATGAAGAGCTTGCTGCTTGAATTTGCCTGAAAGGTCACACTTAGAAAATGCCTCAGTTCTTTTCATGCTTATTTCTTTTTATTTTGGCATCCAAAGGTGACTCTAGAGCCCTTCTCTTTCTGCAAGGGAGTGTGGATTGTAAATGGAACATTAATGCCTGGCACTATGCCCCAGCTTTGGGGAGGACCAACTCCACTCTGCTGCACCGCTGAATGAAAATTATCAGTGACACTGCTGACACAGGTAGACTGAGAGGGACTGTAGAGAATGGCCACTCTTAGTCTGCTCCTGACCTGCACTTTAACACTCAGCTTCCTTCTTGCATTTGTTATTGTTGTATATTTTTGTTGTTGTCTACAGTTCACTTTGTAATCCCAGGATCGTCTTAAACAAATCTAGAAGCATATAAGGAGAACAGTAACCATTTTTACATTCTTTTTATAATGTCAGACAAGAAGCAGCAACAGTATACAAAAAGTACCAAAAATATCTACAGTGAAATGTGGCACAAAGTTATTCTTTCTTGCCCACCTGATTAGTGATGCCAGCAGGAACAGGCTATTGTCACAGTTTACATTTACATGCTCTCTTCCTTCTCGCCTTTTTGCTGGCTGGGATTCTTTTTTTTTTTTTCCCTTTTTGATATCAGCAATTGAATTCATGGCCTTGCACTTGCCAAGCAGACGCTGTGCTGCTGAGCTACATCCCCAGCCCAGGTTGGGATTCTTTTTTTTTTTTTTTGTCTTTTTCATTTTTATCGGTACCAGGGATCGAACTCACGACTGCCTGCTTGCAAGGCAGGCGCTTATGCCGCTGAGCTAAATCCCCAGCCCCTACCAGGTTGGGATTCTTGAGCAGAGTCCTAGACAGAGAAATCTCAGTTCTATGGCAGGTGAATAATCTCCCAAACCTGCAAGGCTGGCTGGCACAAGGCAGAGCACACTCACACGGAGAAGGGAGGGCTGCCATGTTCAATGGTGAGACAGAGATAAACTGCACCTCTGTTTCCCAAATGGTCTCACAGAAGTGGAACCACTCGGTGAATGTTTGATACAGAGAAGATGGATGGTGCTGTCCATCACAATGCCGTTAGCAGCCTTAATAAGAAAGTACAAGCCCTTCTTGGAAGGAAGTGAGGCAGATGGCCTTGGACAGGTAGTGATGAAACTTATGTCCTCATTTGAGGGATGCAGAATAACATGACTGGTGCTTGGGTAGTGAAGACCTTATGGGCTGCCTCTAGACACTCGGTCTCCCCACCAGGGGCACTGTTTTCCCTAAGTCCCCAGCTGCCCAACCAGATTTATTCGAGGATGTGGGCGGGGCCTTCCTACTTCCCCTGTGCTTGACTATACAGATTCTGGCCTCAGTTCAACAGTCTCTGCCCTCATTGCACAAGTGTTTTCCAGCTTCTAAAATATGTTATTAGATCTGGCATGAACACTGCTCAGTACTTTTAAAACTCACTGGATGCTGTCCCAGAGTAAAACAGCTTTTTTTACATCACAATCCAGCCCACAGTCACCCTAGCAAATACACACCCACTGGAATCCTCCTCATCTTATTACCTGGGCTATAACTTAGTACGCCTGTCCCATCTTGCTAATCAATGGATCAGCTAGGGGAATACACAAACCTGATCCAAATGGGGTCATGATGTGACACAGGCCGGGTGAATGACTGGCCTTGGAATGGCACGTCCTCTTCTGAGAGCAGTGTGTGGACAAGCTCCAGTTGCAAAGGAAGGCTGATGGTTCTGGGTTGACATACTGACCGCCTTGTTAGCTAACACAGTGGCTCGGTCAGAAAGCCCACTCGGGCCATTCATAGCCGTGCAGAGCACTTCTTTTCCTCACAGGACTAACTTACATCCTGTGTCTTTCCAAAAGGCAGGCCATGATGCCAAGAGCCTGTGTCAAAATGGAGCTCTTGACAATAGTATTTCATGACTTTCTAAAGTGCAAACGGGGGGTCATGGCGGGGGAAGAGAAACTTCATCACAAACAAATATATTTAACTGGGAGCAGAGGAAGGGAATCCAATGACTTCACCAGGAAAGTCCATTAGGTAAGAGTAGGCTCCCTTGACTTCTGATTGGAGCCATGTAATTTATTTAACATCTAGTCCAGAACACAGCGTGGCAAAGGAGGGGTGATGCTCCAAACCTTCATATGCATGCATGCAAGCACACACATGCGCAGGTTGTCACGGGTAAATGAGCCCCTTGGGGACTCTGAACTTTGGCTTCTGTCTGTCTGAAGCAACTCACCTGCAGAACAATGGGCAGCTGCTCAGGGGGGCTCCGGTTCTCCACACCCATTGTGAGCCATACCTGGAACGCGGTCAGCTGCTCTGCAAAGAATGGGCTGTGCTGTGGGAGAAGCAGAGGAGCTGGTCAGGTCTATGCAGCGCCTGCTTGCCCTGGCCCCATGACAAGGCAGAGTGGTGGGACCTGTGCACAGCCTGGATGTGGGCAGGACAGGGGGTGAGGAGGGGCTCGGCAGCTTTGGCCCTGATTGATGAGTATCAATGAGAGGAGAGGAACAGTTGGAAGGAGACACTGGACCTCATCCCAGGGCACACACTTTGTGCTCATGATGTCTATCAGGAATCCATTTGAACACACACAGGCACTGGCCATGTGGTCTATCATTTGGGAAAGGTCTGGCCAGGTGTAACATCAAGTCACTGGCACACAGCATTTTAGAGAGATAAAAGGAGCCCAGGATGGATCCTGGGGTTATAATACTTAGGGGCCAAGGAGATGAGGTGGAACCGGCCAGGATACTATGACAGTCACAGCCTGGAGGGAGAGAAGGAGGGTGTGGTGCCCTGAAAGCCAGGGAGGATGACCTGTCCGGCAGCATCAAATACTGGGGTTGGACTGTGCAAAACCATTGACTGTGTTGGCAGCAGTGGCCATTAAGAACAGCCTGGGGTTGGGTATCTGTAGAAATGGAGTGAACCAGAATAGAGGAAAAGGGACGGAAGAGTCTCAAGTGTAGATAGTTTTCTGAAGGAATTCAGTTAAAAGAGCAGGGTGGTAGCCCCAGGAGAAAGTGGATCTGAATACAGTATATAGAGGGGAGAACAAGGGCATGCATATGAGCTAATGAGGAAGATCCAGACGAGAACAGAGGAGCAAAGCTGGGCCCGGCAGGGCAGAGCTGGAGGGTGGGCTGCCAGGGCAGGAGGAAAGTGGAACAGGTAGCCTTTGTGTGGGCAGTGAGTGCTGATGGTGGGCACCTCAGGGCTTCTCTTTCTATTTTTCTGTTCCTCAGGGAAAGTGGGAATGTAAAGCCCTTGGAAAAAAGGGCAGGTGCAGAACAGACAGAAGAGGGAGGGAGGAGGGGTGGCAAAATTTCTCTCAGCGCCTCTATGTCCTGCTTGACAGGGTGATCACAAAGCAGGTCACAGCAGGCGATGCTGCCTGGGTCTGGGCTCTCCAGACCATGAGCTTAGCTGAGTGGGCACAGAGCAGGTGGGAGGCAAAGGGAGTGAGGGCATACGAGGAGCCTGGCTGTGGGAGTGGGCTCGGGGACTGGCTGCTGGGCATGACAGCCCATGCTACCAGTCCCCTGGAGAGGCCACAGTGGGGACCAGATACCACCCCACCACCCATGCACTGCTACCTGATTTGGATATGGTTACACAAGTATGTCCAAGGGATAGAAATTCATCAGGCTGTATGTTTACAGTACACACAATTTTCTCTATGTATGTTATACCACCAGGAAGGTTAAAAATTTAAAAGCTAGTGCACAATCTACATCAGATGCTTTCCTCTCTTGACATCTTGAGTCAGCATAATCATTCCCAAATGCAGAACACTGATTCTAGTGGCTTAGAAATGATGTGTAGTAAGATCCTTGAAAAGATCCTTGGCAAAGATACCTTGCATTGAAATGGAAGTGTTCCATCTAGAGGGAACACACATACAATCAGAAACTGTCTTATGTAAAGAAAAGCAGAGTTCTGATCTCCTGAAAGTACAGAGTGAAACCATGCTCGGACTACAAAAACCCAATTATGTGATTTTTCAGACATCTGTTTCCAGTGCTAGGCCCTGTGCTTTATGGAGAGCTCAGGCCCATGGGGCTGCTCTGGTTAACATCAAGGCAAAGGATACAAGTGGGTGCAGTGGCAGCCTGCATGGACCAGCCATTGTTCTCTACTAAGGTTTGTGAGTATGAAGGGGACCATGTCCCAGCCTCAAGAGTTGAGAGAGGAGGTGGGCAGGCCTTTCACTAGTGGGTGCCAAAAACACTGGCAGGACCCAAAAGGAAATCGCATGAGCTCCCTCTAGAGTTCTGAAACACAGTGGTCTGCAAAGGATGTTAGGTTATAAAGGATGCATGGAGAGACTCACCCTAAAGGCAGTGCCCTCCTCGATGATCGTCGGCAGCTGAGAGAGACATATGTCCACAGCGAGGTCCCAGGCCTGCCTGGGGAGAAAACAGAGGGAGCATCCTGCATTAGCGCATGGCTTCTAGGGTGAGGGGTATCACAGGGAAAGGAGGAGCTGCGTGAGCCACATAGCAATGGTCTGAGGGAGCCTGGAGCTCAGGTCAGTATGCTGGAGTTGTCCTGAGTTGACCCAGGCTGCAGACGTCACCCAAGAAGGGCTCACGCGACGACACAGCACCAGGGCCAGTGGTGCTGGCAGCACACGCCAACCATTTGGTGTGTCACATTTCTTCTCTTTAAAATGGAGCCAGAAAAAGGCTCAGAAAAATCGCAGAACTCTCGCCCCCTCTGGGGTGGTTCCTGAATCTGACGTGACCCTCTATAGCAGGCAGCTTGCTTTTCCCCAAGCAGTGGGGGTTCTGTGGTGGCTGATGGGCAGGACAAAGTGTTTTACTGGGAGCAGGCCTATGGGCCAGAGGCAGGTGGCCCAGCTGGAGACCCTGGAGGTTAGGTGTTGTCGACATGCCCCATATCCTGTGCAGTCATAGGAGGCTCCCTGCCATCACCAGCACAGTCAGGCCCCAGCAGCCTCTTGCCTGAGTGGTTGGGCCAGGGCTATGGAAGCCCAGGGGAATGCTGGCAGCTTTTAAGGACCAAACAGTAGGTACAATGAGTGGAAGGGGAACTTATTCTGGCTGGTGGACCCGGGCACACGCATCAGGTTGTCGTGTCACTGGGACACAGGTTACAGTGGTAACACAGCCCTGGGTAACACACTTCTGGGAGAACACAGCCCAGGACCCCCTGCCAGACAGGCACCCACTCCTACTCCAGCTTTAAAACAGCCCTCTGAGCTCCATTCTGAAACAGTTCTGTGGCTCTGGCATATAAGCCCAGTACAGGATGATGTATATGGCTTCACCAACACATCTTCTTACATAACTGGGGGACAGAGACTCGGTGTCTGGGAGCAGACTGGTTGCTCTTACATAAGACTATCTGCCAGGCACAGCTTCTGAAGGACCCAGGAACAGGAGAACAGTGGAGCTCAGAGTTGCAGCCACAGGCCAGGGTTTAGAAAGGTTTCTGATCTTGATGTAGGTATATAACTTAAACGAAACCATTGATTTCTTATAATTTTTTTTGACTTGCAAGGAAATCACAATGGCCTAACCAATACTTCCATAAAGAATGGCTCTGTAGTGGGATGATTTGTGCCCATCTTCCTGATGATGCTTTGGGAAGGGTGCTACCCAAGGTCAGAGGGCAAGTTGGGGAGGGGCCCAGCACTGTGTGCTGCATAATGCCATCACTGGGCTCTAGGTGTGGGCACCAGATCCTCTAGCCTAGCATGGTACATGGGCCTGAGTCTACATCCTAGTTGCCCTTTCTCATTGAAAACTTGCTTATTACCTAGAGTGGTCTAACACAGGACCTGTGGGAGGCCTCCCCACTGTGAGCGGGTGGATATCCCTTCAACCTACACCCAGCTGCACCTAGCTGAGGATCCTACAGGGATCCTACAAAACTTGACACTTCCTTTCTATTCCCACTTTCTTGAGTTGTCAAAACCACAGTTTTGAGTTTTGTTTCCTAGAAAATAAACTGAGGCACAGGGCAGGTTTGGGTTGAGGACATGTCGGCCAAAGGGTACCAGTGAGGGCTTGGGAGCCCTGATATTGGCCTTGGCTTGGCTGCTTTGTAGAAATGACCAGACCAGGTGTTGCACAGGTAGACACTGGATGCGTGTATCTGTGACACTGAGGGCAGCCCTATTACTACCTCTTTAGAAGGCAAGCTCATACTATGGGATGACTTGTAGCCTCTGCACAGATGCTGTGCTGCCTAGGTGACTTACAAGGAGACACAGGGATGATAGGCACCCTGCACCATCTCCATTGCCCCCTCCCCCAACTTGCTGGGGATTCACTGAGCTAAATATTTGTCCTAGCACATGGCAAGGCACCCAGCGTCCTCTGCCAAGCACCTGCCCACTGCTGGCTGCAGAGGTAGAAGCCTGCTGCAGGCCTGTCCAGCTCACTTCCTGCCATAGCCCTTTCCCTCCCTGCTGCCAACCCTCTGTGGCTGTAGTGGTAAGATGGCAGGAGCAGAAATAATGGTCCAAGCTAAGAGGTACTTAACTCTGACTCATAATGAAGCTAGCTATAGGCCTAGTGGTATAGAGGATGAAGGAGTAGGGCAGTGCGTTCTCCTTTGCTGCTCATCATGCCCACAAGCCCTCTGGTCTCAGCATCAGCCCATGGCTCTCTGGGGCACTGGCAGAAGCCATCCTATTGGATTGCTCTCTTCCTTGCCTGTGGTCTAACCCATGTGTACAAGATTAGACAGCAAGACCTCATCTAAGTCTATGAGGATGGTGCTGCTGTGTGGAACCTGAGGGCAAAGGGTAGAAGCAGAGTCAGAGGCTGGTAGCAGGAGGCAGGAAGCCCCAGTTGAGGAACAAAGGAGCCGAGCACACAATGACCAGGGGTGATGGCCAGAGTGCTACACTGGCCTGAGATAAAAAAGCATCTCAGGATGGCTCGGTGCTGGAGTGAGACAGCAGGCCCCCCAAAGGATCAACTGCGTGTTTCTTCAGGTGCATGAAATCTTATTCTAGTACCTGCTATGCTTCTAGGATGCCTGGGTTTCTACATTGCTTCCTTTGTCTTGCCTGCCCTGTACCCTGCACAATCGGCCACAGATCTCAGTTGTTGTAGGAGCTGCCCCCCACAATCTCACAATGTCTCCTTAAGCCATATGGGTGATGGGGCTTCCTGTTGTTGAACCCTTGACAATGTGACATGGCAGATCCTCTATTCCTCTTGGATTTCACAAGGGTCCGTTCTCATTGCGGTGAACATGCTGAGTAACTTTCTCTCCCAGTCTTCGGTAACTTAGTCTTTAAATGTGGGTGCTGCTGGTGTCAATGTGCTGTTCTCCCTTTTCTGTGTCCTCCCTGTGTGGAGTGCCAAGCAACAGCTGCTCACTGACACCCTCAAGTCCATTCAAAACTGATTTCACCTCTATTGGTGGACCCAGATACCTGCAGATTCCACTGCAAGAGCAGTGGCACATCTGGACTGCACTGAATGCTTCTGAGACAGCTCCTGAGTCCTGGGCTCCACCACAGCCTTGCCAGCCACCTAGGATCACTGCCCAGCCTGTCTTCCCACTCTCTGGCCCATCACTGCAAAGCTTGGGGGCTATCAGGCAGCTTCAGCTCATGGGCTTCCTACCTACTTTTACCTGCCTTTTCTGGAGCCCTGAAAATACTAAAAGCCATTGTGCTACTCTCTGCCTTCATGAGGGCAGCTTATGTGAAGCCCTAGTGCCTTCCAACTTCTCCAGCTTTGAGGTCCTCAGCCAGCCATTGGTACCTGGCACATGGCAGGCCCTCAAGAAACACTTAAGTGAGAGTGAAGCAAAGTCAAAGAGACCTCTCTCCTGAAGCAGTCAAAGTAATGAGAACCAACCGACTACATGCTGAAAACCTGGCCCTGTGCCTGCTCTGCCACCAGCAGCTCTGGCTGGCATGGGGGCACTTGCTCTGCTCCCTTCCTTGTGATGTGCAGGATGAGGGCCTGCATGGTGGCTGCTTACTAGACGTCCCACAGCCCTTCAGCAGGAATAGGGCTGCAGCCTGGCTTGAAGGCTGGCTCGTGCCTCCATCTTACCAGAGCTCCACCATCGGTGACGTGAGTAATGCAGCAACTCTGCCACGAGGTCTTTTCAAGACTCTGAGAGGAGGCAAAGACCATGGGTGAGCTGTACACACATGGTGAGGCCAGTCAGAGACAACATGGTAATCCACATTAATTCCGATCTGCAAGAAATGGCCCCCTTGCAGTCTATGGCCATAGACCAAGGAGTGCTGGTGCCCATGGGTGCAACGATTTTCCCAGCCTTGCTCTCCCTTCCTAGAGAAATATGTTCCTATGGAAATGAAATCATGCCCAGGACAATGGATTCCATTTCTGGAATAGCATTCTCTTCTCCCAGATAATTTCCTGGGAGACTATAGCAAGTCCTATAAAAATCTGATTTCATGTTATCTTTATTTAGACTAATGAGACTGTGTGTTGACAGGTAAAGGGCACATTCTATGTCTTAATAAGGACCAAAACAAGAATGGAAAATAATTCTAAATGCAGAAGAGGAGTAAAAATTTAAGATAGACAAATGGTCTAAAGAGCTGCTTTTTGTTTTCCGTCTAAAATGTGTCTCACCTCCCCACTGATCCCCTGCATAGTAGGCCCCTCTCTGCTAACAGGATTAAGAGGCAATCAGGAGATAATCAAAAGTGGTTCCAAGTATGGGCAATAAATAGCTCCCATATGCTCAATAAACCCCCAGACTGCAAACGGGTGCTCAGCAGTGTCGAGGGAGGTATCTACTCTTTGTTGAGATAGAAGCAAAGTCAATTATTGCAATTAAACTCCATAAAGATGCCTTGAAGTTAATCAAATGAAAAGTTTCAATTTCAGGAGTTAGAAATAAGTGGACAAGTTAGGCGGAGGTGGGGATAAGAAGTGGGCAGAGTGTGTCCAGGCAGCTGGCTGCCAAGACCAACTTCCAACTCACACAGTCTCATGACAGTCACGCCCCAGGCCTGGCACCTTTAGAACCGTGTGACAAGGCAGCAATATCTATGTATTCCCTTGCAGCTCAGAGCTCAAGGGCCTGCTTGTCATTGAAACCATAAGGTAAAAAGAACTACCAGCCATGAATTAGGTCCCAGCAGTGTTCTGAGTCCTAGACCGCACTGCATTTCCCACACATCTGATCCTGTATGGCAGGACCGCTCTTGAAGGGCAGAGGCCTCCCTGGGCTCATCTATGGATGGGGTGAATGTGCCACACATTTCTGACACAGAAACGTAGCTCCAGACAGTTTTGTTTTCTTTTGTGTAAAAGCTTGGTGGGACTGCTGAAATGGGACAAAGTACAGGAGCAGGGTTTGGTCACTGGGATGGCATGGAGCAGCTCTGTGGGGCTGTGATCCAGAGGAAAGCAGAGAAGCAAAAGTCCTGCTCAAA